GAAGAAGTTCTATCGCTCGAGCAGTTAGAAGCAGTCCTCATTATGCGCTTCGGCGATCCTCCTTTCCACCTCGAAGAAACCTTACGCGGCCAATACGCATGTTTCTTTGAACTCGAGCGCGAAGACGGGTTGACGACTGACGATCTCATTCGAGAGCATGAGAAGCAACAGCGCATTAAGAACGGCGACCTCGGCTCCGGAAGGCGTTCAAGTTCAGCGAGTCGTCCAGGATCAGGACGAAGTGGGAGTCCCAAGAGCCCAACAATTTTCGGTCGAAGCCCCGATCTTGGTCGAAACTTATCTCCTTTACGTCGCACGAGCCCGATTCAGGCTTTGGGTCCTGGACGAGTAAGTCCCGGCCGCGGCGTGAGTCCAGCTGCCAATTCTGATCTCTTCGATCCGATGAGTGAGATGGACTTTCGATCAAGCAAAACGAACACGTGGATAACTTTCTTCCACTCTTCCGTCAAGGAATTCTTTGGTACCCAAAACTCTTCAAAGCTTGGTGCAGGTATTGGGTTTGATCCTCTGATTTCGCGCATTCACATCCTGCGAACATGTCTCTCCATCTTCACCAACAAAGCCGCGTTCGATAAATATCGGCTCAGCGCCAGTGGTCGAGAGTCCATGAAGCAGTACGCTGCGTGGTATTGGCAGGAGCACTTAGCTGTCCTCGATCCGGCAACAGTACCTGCGCCTGAGAGGAAAGAGCTGGGAGAGTATGTGCACAAGATGCTCACTGATGAGAACACCATTCTGGACTGGACTCTTATGTACGAGAAGAATGACGAGGGTCTTGACGTCCTTACAGATGCCAACATGAAAGGTCTCAAGCGATGGATGGGCGATCCCGATGTCCAATCCTCTCTCAGTCCTGAAGCTCGGGAATGGGCCACCAAAGGCGTCAAGGAATCCCCTGGTATCTTCAAGCCCATCGGAGAGCTTTACGCTCGAGCGTGGCTCTCAGAAGACTTCAAGAAATACATCCCCACCCTCTTCTGCTTCAAGATTGTCCAGTCTATCGCATTCATGCAAGAAGGCTACTCCTGGTCTGACTGCAACACCCACTGGACCGAGATCCCTGTCGAGAACCGAATTGTCAAAGCAGCAGAATGGGCAAAGATCCCAGAGAGTGCCCACTGGCACCGTCGCTTCGGAAGCACATACCTCACGAATGACATGCACAGCAAGGCACTGGGACATTACGATAAGGCTCTTGCTCTGGACAATAACAGTGTCGAGACGCGTGGCCGTATCGCGTATTGTCTTTCGCGTGACGGTCGCTTCAAAGAGGCTTTGGAGCAAACTCTCAAGTGCGAGGCGATTGAGGAGGAGAGTATCGCCAGTGGTAAACTTGACGAGCAAGCCTTGAAAAGCTGCAAATGGCGTCTATACAAGGATCACATTCTCATAGCCACTTGCTACGAAGAACTCCACAAAGTCGACCAAGCACTCGAGTACTTCCTCAAGGCGATGAAGAGCGCCAAAGTGGTCGGTCTGAATCGTAAAGAATGCAAAGAATATTTTGAGCCTGAGCTCGGGTACCTTGAGCTAGTGGCTACTGAGAACCGCCATGAAGCTGTCATTCAGTTCCTCAAACACCTCTCAGAAGAGGTCACTGACGCAGAACACAAGCGTACAAGACTCGTTGACTTTTTGCTCGAGTTCCATAACAAACCTCTTGTCATAGACTGGATCCCCAAGGCAGCCAGTAAGGTCGGTGAAACGGACTTCATCTACGAGTCTCTGCTATTCACGATTGAGGTTGCAACCGCAACTCGCGATCCCCTCAAGGCGCTATATCTTCGTCTCGCACTTGGCGCAACGTACACGTATAGTCGCGATATTGATTCTGCGCTGGATTTATTCGAGGGTATAACACAACTTGGATACCGACCTCGTGGAAATGTTCCCACACGACAGGCTTATGCTCTCGCATTCCAGAAGCTTGCTTCCCTGTACAAAGAGCGTATTCTTCATGCCGGACTCAAGACGCCCGAAGCAGACACTTGGCTTGAAGATCTTGAGAAGATCAAGCAGAAGCAAAGCCGGCATCAGAACCAGGACATGCCGATCGAGATGGTCGGTTCAGACGTCAACATCGCAGCCATCTACATGATCCTCTTCAACCGTCTTCTCGGTCGAAGTTCTTCAACAGACCGCGATCTTCGGCAGCTGATCAACGACAGTCTCGATATTCTCTCCGACGATGATGTCCAAAACGACGAATACGCCCTGGATAACCTCCTCGGCCTCTTCATCGCCGCCGACGACATCGAAAACGCTCTCGCCCTTAGCCAATCCATGCGCAAAGTCGATCCCAAGATCTTCACCTCTACTCCAGAAGATTCGCCCGTTCTTTCACGCATTGAGCCCAAACTTCCCGAGATTCAGACTATGCGTCAAAACTGCGCCCAATGTCTAGATCTAATCCCTCCTTCGGACGAGTACTACATCTGCGAGTACTGCATGGAGACGTATGATGCAAAGTGTATGGCTGTTATCAAGGGCGAGGGGAACAAGACGAGCGATCACAGGGATGATTTGATCTGTAGGAGCGATCATCAGTGGTTTACTGTGCCCCCGTTGGGAAGAGTGTTGCACAGGGGAGAGATATTGTTGGTCAATGGCAAGGTGGCGAGTTTCAACGAGTGGAAGGCTGGGTTGGAGCAGAAATGGGGGAGGAAGAAGTAGATGGAATGGGCATGAGTACCTGGCTATGGGAAATGAAGCATCAGTGGAGTTGGTCAGCATCTAGATGAAATGTTACTGCAATTGCAAAGTTATCATAGGAAAATACATAAGCTTCTACTCGCAATGAATATGCTCAGGAGCCTGCATCAGGTTCGAGACGTCTCACTTCCTTCTTCCATTTCCAAGTACTGCGATTCAAGATGCTTTATAACAGCTTCCGGGCTCGGTAGGGAATCCTTGACGCGACATGCGTTGCCTTGCTTGATGTAGGCTGTCCTGAAGGAGGACCATACTGGATCACCTAATTGGTCGTAGGATTCCGGCGGTGATGGAAGCACACCTATAAGCTCGTCTAAGCACATAGAGATCGTCTCCACTGTCATATCTTCTGCTTCTAGAAGTTGGTGAAAGGAAGGTATGTGTATGCCAATCTCGAGGGGCCCGAATTTCCATGCTTCGTAGGCCGGGGAAGCACCAAGGACAATGCATGCACGCATAGCCCAAGGCCTCGCATTTGAAATGAAGTATAGCAAAAATTTCGCCCATTGAGACGGCTATTTTCGTAACGTCGATGCCCGCATCCTCCATCATATCCTGCGCGATTCGCATGTCTTTCAGCCGAAGTACTTTGGTGCAAATCTGAGTGCCGAACAAATGGAGGGGTGGCATGCATTCGAGGTTATCTCCACAGCAAAGAAGTTCCTGGGTAACAAATGGATCCATTGGTCTGCGGCCCCTTAGGTGATAATGGTTTATAAGAGCTCGTCGAACGATCTGAGGCAACGAATGAACCTTGTCGACTGTTGTGCCTGGCGAGGGTGGCACTTGATGATCTTGACAGAATCTTTTCCAGTCGGCAAAGAATTGTATGTTGGTAGGAGCTTTGACTCTGAAGCCATATTAGAAGTTGTGTTCATCAATGGCCCTCCCGATCTTTTCTTAACGAGTGTGCGGCTTTGTACAACGTGAATTTGGCTGTCGAGATCAGAAAACGGAGCCTTTACCAGGTCGATAACCGTGTTCTCCCCAGTCAGCTCCAACCTTTTGAAGTCATCGGTGTCTGAAAAGTGCTTAACCTTCTGATCACATGCATGAAGATGGCGACCGTTGGTGATATGGCACGCGGGAGCATACGGGGGTATGATGACACCTGGGCGCATGAATGTGGCGAGTGCATCCAAGGGCGAGAGCTCACCTTCACGGCGATCGATCTCTTCTTGGGAGTTATCCTTTTGGCGTTCATCTAGTTCCGCTTGGGCGATCTCAGGAGAATCCAGCATCTTGGTGGACAGAGCCTCTGACATGACGAAGACGGTGTGATATGAGATGAAGTGCGTTACAACAGCCAAATCTGAGGAGTGCGGCAACGGTATATTTGTACTCGAGTTTAAATTTCTAAGTTATAGAACCGGTGCCATATCTCCGTGGAGGATTGGTCTCATTCATACCGACTCTCTGAGATCTGGTTAATTAGGCTATTGGCAAACAACGTGAGTGAGATGGGACCATCACTGCATCTACCCGTTGGCCGAGTGCCACATCTGCCTCGTCAGTTTCAGCTCCAAGAGTAAATATGACTTATGCCTAAAACCGCTCATGGGAAATCGTGCAAGAATTAAGGTGATGACGGACATGTCTGCCTGTCGATAGAAGTCGACATTAAGTAGACAGACACATCTAGTGCAGCGAACGGACGCCATATTGTACAGCTTATGTCCTATGGGTAATAAGCTATCTTTTTCCCATACGACAGAAACGTCGACACGCCACACGTGTGCAAGCCGTAAGCGTTTTTCCGGAATTATTCATGACGGTCTCGTAAAGAAACAAGATCTGGGCCGTGGTTAGAGCAATGCGTGTATCCGTAGCCTCAAACATGCGCCGAGGTTGAAGTTGACGTGGGCCGTGATATGCCGACTCAGTAACACCCGACGGGCTGGAACTTAACAACGGCGTGATTTTAGTTTATTTCTAAAAATGAACTGCAACAATCCGTTCCCTTCTTAGTGCTCGCGATTGGATTCGCACCTAAAATAAGGAGGCACCCGTGGCTGTTTCAACGGATTGCTCCCGGTTCCCAAGCATACCTAAAGGTCTGCGGAGTACTCCATAGCCCGCCCACGTCCAGCAGCCAACCGCTGTAATTACACTTACACTACAGCGACATCGGCGCATGTGTAAATTACAACAGCTCCCATCTGTGCCAAAAGTGACGAAATCCATCCCATCCCACGCCCCAAAAAAAAGTTCCCATTCCCGTCAACACCAACATCGCCTCCAGACCATAACCGGGCAGGAAAGCAATCATGGCGTCGACAACACAAACAGGCGAAAAGAAGAAGCAGCCCAGTCCCTTGCGATCCATCATCGCTGGATCGACTGCCGGCGCCATTGAGATTGGTATGCTCGCACGACATGACTCTGAAGATGTAGCTAACCAAGCTGTCGTATAGCTATTACCTACCCCGCTGAGTGTACGTTCACTCACCCCTCGAGTAGATGCGGACCTACAATACTGATTTGGTGTAGTTGCAAAGACAAGGTCGCAGTTGAACCGGCGGTTAGCTGAAGGACAGAAGCTCCCTTGGCCGCCTTTCGGCAAGCAGTGGTATGCTGGATGCACCACTCTCATCATTGGCAACGCAGCCAAGGCTGGAATCCGTGAGCTGCTTCCCGAATTTTCGCGTGTCGCATTGATTAACAAGGGCCAGGATTCGTTGCGTTTGATCAGTACAAGGCGCTTCTTGTCGACGAGAATGGCAATCTTTCTGGGCCTCGTACTGTCCTTGCTGGTTTCGGTGCCGGAGTCACAGAGTCATTGCTTGCTGTGACTCCCACTGAGAGTATCAAGACCACTCTGTAAGTTGACTTCTTCCCCCGCAGGGCCCAAGCTTACAATCCCAGTATCGACGACCGCAAGTCCGCTAAGCCTCGAATGCGCGGCTTCCTGCACGCCGTCCCCATCATCGCCCGTGAACGTGGTCTCCGGGGTTTCTTCCAAGGATTCGTCCCCACGACCGCTCGACAAGCTGCCAACAGCGCAACACGCTTCACCGCCTATAACTTCTTCAAGCAAATGGCCGAGTCATACACAGCACCTGGTGAGAAGCTCGGTGCTGTTGGGACTTTTGCAATTGGTGGTTTGGCTGGTTTGATCACTGTATATGTAACGCAACCGCTCGATACTATCAAGACACGCATGCAGAGTATCGAGGCGAAAAAGACATATGGCAACAGCTTCAAGTGCGCGACGACCATCTTCAAGCAGGAGGGTGTTCTGACGTTCTGGAGCGGCGCGCTGCCACGATTGGCGAGGCTGGTGGTTTCTGGAGGATTGGTGTTTACTGCCTATGAGCAGATCCAAGTGTGGTTTAACAAGATAGATCCGGATGAGAAGTACATCTAGACAGTGCTGAGCGATCTAGAGGGCGTTGAATATGGGCACATGAGCAAATACGGGGAATCGCTTTTGATACAATGTACAAGTACAATACATATACATATACACGTCGGATGCCAGTATCCTTCTTTGGGACCCTTTCCTTGCATTAAGTCGTTTTCTCGTCCATCAATTACTGAAACCGAATCATTCCTGTTAATCGCTTGCCCAATCTCTCCAACCACGACCTATTCGGCGCTTCGTCAATTTCCCTTACTAGATCCGCAAAGTATGTCGGTTGACTCTTTGGCTCCAGTAATCTACCCTTGAGCTTGAACTGTATAATTATTAGCACCGGATTGTGTTCGCTATGTCGTGGTACGTACTCGATCGTTATATCGGTCTTGGAGAAGAAATTGAAGCGCCCGCGCCTTGAGAAGCTCCTCACGCTCCATCGAGGGCTTATAATTCTGGAATCGCTCGGTTACGGCTTTGCCTAGGACATCTTGGAGTTGGTGATCGGGACGAAGGGCTTGCTTTGGCCAGCGCGCAAAGACGTCGGAGTAGATTTTTTGCTACAAAGAAAGAGTCAATGTTTATTTCTTGTACTTCTTTATCAAGCAATTACTTACAGATAATGATCGCGACATGGTGAATTGTGAAGATGTCGTTGCTGGGGCTGGACCTCTCTGCAGCAGAATATCTCGACGTCAACCATTGAGAAATTCCATAAAACAGTGTGCCCGTCACAGTGTTGATTTCTCTTGAAACTGTAGTTGAAAAGCATATGATTGGGTCATGCGTAATTTGCCTCAGGCTGCCACGAGACCCTTGAAATGGATTGCCTCATCCATTCTTCAACCTGATGAGGACAAGCCCGTGATCTGATTCAATGTGGAGGTGGATCCAACATTACCTGACACAGCCCACTTGCAAGTTCAAGTCAAGAGTCATGCAAAGAATGAATCAAGTTCTTTTGTCATTCTTCCACGATGTTCCATTACAGACTTGCACTCGAGAACAACCTTTTAGATCTGGCTTTGTTGTTGCCCCTGAACTTTGATTAAGGCTGCGAATAAAAAGATACCGCAAGCCAAAGTAGCATCACAGTGCGCCACGGCGTTTCAGTGGACGGATACTCGGCGCATCACCCCTGAAGGCCCTTCTAGACCATCCCCTATCGTATTTCACACTGTGCTAATACCGAACCCGAATACAGCCGCCGTCCGCATATCGACTAAGGCGCTCGCCCCAGGCAGGCTTTCTCCTCCCGTCCTGTTGCTGTCTGTTTCGTAATCGTCAAACTTCGAAGTCAACGCAAGCACACCCAAACCCAAAACTAGACCCTTTCGCCGTCGTTCCTTGAAGATCCTTTTTCCTTTTTCCCCCCTCGCACTGGTTCGGTCTTTCTTTTTTATTTCGTCTCTCTTCAACCTGTTTCTCTTCCTACGATATCGCGTATCTTTTCCTCTTGGTAAGCGGATTCGGGAGGCAGCCCGACACCGCCAGACGATTAGCCCATCATGTCCGGACGATACGAACGAGTGAGTCGCGCAATGAACCGCGGTGTTTGGAATATACTGACAAGGTCTCAGATTAACGGCCAAGACGAGGAGGACTTTGGCGCCCGAAACAACAACAATAACAACAATCTCTCTCATCCGATCCCCCACTCGCCACCTCCCTCGTTTCACTCCCGATCCTCTTCTCCTCAACCAACGCGCCAGGTCGATGCTACTCTCGCCGATGCCTTTGACGATGATGACGATAGCGACGATGAGGTCGATGATCGGAGACGATTGATGCGACAGAATTCGACACCATCTATGGAGAATGTCAACACGATACCAACACCTGCTCAACCGGCTGTTCCGGCACCAACGCCGTCCGGTTCAAGGTCAACGAGACTTGTAGGAGGTGGATCTGGATCAGATGGTGTTTTTGCCAATTTGTCTGCGCGCCCAGAGAGAGGGAACAGTGATCCTGAGAAAGACGAGTTACCACCGGTATGTTGCCCAAATAAACACCCTCGAACTATGTGTCTCTAACTTTAATAGTCCTACGAACAAGCCGCGGCCGATGCTGCTCCTCCATATTGGGAGACGACTATTCTCGCTCCCGGCATGGGAGGACCTGACGAGGTTTACATCGACGGCATGCCAGTTGGCTCATTCTTCTCCTTTGTCTGGAACGGCATGATCTCAACATCCTTCCAGCTCGTCGGTTTCCTCCTTACATACCTTCTTCACTCAACCCATGCCGCCAAAAACGGTTCTCGTGCTGGTCTCGGTATAACTCTTATTCAATACGGCTTTTATATGAAGGGTGTTTCAGAAGACGAACCCCCGGCGATGAGCGGCCCCGATGGCTACGCCGCACCACCCGACCCCAACTCCCACAACTTCAAGCAAGGCGACGTGACAGACGATGATCTCGGCAGCATTAGCGGAGGCGAGTGGCTAGGATACGTGCTCATGGTAGTCGGCTGGTTCCTTCTTATCAAGAGCGTCGCCGAGTTTCTACGAGCACGACGTCACGAGCAGCTCGTCCTCCAGAGCCCTGATCGCGGTCTTGGTGTACCGATCATTGCTGAGGGGGAGTCGAACGAGCGAGTAGTCTAAATTAGCGGGTTTGAATATGTACAACAATACCATTATATCATGGAGCGCATCAGTCGAGAGACGTAGGCGTTAACTCTTTTCCTTTTGGCGTTTCTTGGGAGGATGGATGGGAAGGATATTTTGGTTCCTACTACAAGCTTAGTGTTTGGCGCGGTACACGCAGTTTCATACGTCTCTATATATGTCTCTTAACATGATTTTGGTTGTATTTATGATTGGCAGCCTGAGAACCGTAGATATAAAGAGCTCTTCATAAATAAGAGAAGGATCCTCGCTCTTCTTGTTCTCGTTTTCTGATTTTAAGCTAGATTCTCGTAAACCCGATACGAGGGATCAAAACTTCTATCCCCAAATCATCCTCCTCCCCAGTCTACTATCCTGGTAGCGAACGATCTCGTAAATTAAAGCCCCTGTTAGTGAATGTCAGTGGTGATTTGGTCTGTGGGGTTATCCGTCGCCGATCCCGTATTACGGAACGGCCCCGCACAGGTTTCGGGAGTTCGGGTTACCTTACGTAGGCACGATATGATGATAACATTACACTTCACTCCTGCCTCTCCAGAATCAGTAAAACATTACTCAACATCAGTCTTTCATCTTAATATTTCCAACCACTTTTGACGTCACTAAGATTCGCACCGTCATCGTGGCTCTCACCAACAAATCACTCCATCTCCCCTCTTTTGTCTCTAGCCTCTACAGAAACACCTGTCGACTTACACACCAGAGACTCTTCAGTATCAACATGGCGTGGACATGCAGCGGAGACACCAACTCAGCTCTTATTGAGAACATGTGGAAGAATGGTCTCATCACCGACCCTCGAGTCAAAGAGGCATTCCTCAGGGTAAACTCCCTGTTCCCGTCTCTCAACTCATACTAATCATCCAGGTTGACCGAGCATACTACGCCCCAGCAATGCCATATGAAGATTCACCCCAGCCCATCGGGTACTCGGCAACTATATCTGCACCCCACATGCACGCCTCAGCCATCGAGCACGTTCTCAGCTATCTTCTCCCCTCATCAACATCTCCAGCCCCTCGGGTCCTTGATGTCGGTTCTGGATCTGGATATCTGACTCATGTCATGGCTGAGCTAGTTGGTGAGAAGGGTCTTGTAGTCGGTCTTGAGCATATTCGTGAGCTGAAAGAACTTGGCGAGACAAATATGTCGAAGAGTGTGGAGGGAAGAAGATTGCTTGAGAGTGGAAAGGTGAGATTTAGATTTGGCGACGGGAGAAAAGGATGGGTCGAGGAACCGAGAGAGGGGGAGAAAGACGAGGGGACAGGCTGGGACGTTATTCATGTCGGAGCCTCTGCGGTGGAGATTCATCCTGAGTTGTTGGAGCAATTGAAGGCTCCTGGGTGGTAAGTGAGCTTGTATTTGTGCAAATGAGTATGCTAACAAGCTATAGTATGTTCATTCCTGTCGATGATGACAAGATGGGGTACAATCAACACGTTTGGAGAATCGAGAAGGATGGAAATGGGGAAATCACGAAGAAGAAGTTGTTTGGAGTCCGCTACGTGCCGTTGACTGAGGCGCCGAAGGCATAGGGAGACCATGTCATGACATCCTCCCTATACTGGCTTATTACTCATTTTGGGGAGATTGCAGCATATTGTCAAAGTTGGTATTTTATAATAAGAACAAGTCAGCAAGCTATCCTTTGTTTCCGTTTCCGTTTCCGTTCCCGTTTCCGTGTCCATCAAATCATGAATCATGCCCAGCCGTTAACTCCGAAATATGCAAGCGAATGTGTCCATTCTCCTCCTTTTCGCCAGCCACTTCCCTTTCCCTTCCTTCCGTTCATAGGAATCGCAACCCAAAGATCACGGCCGCAATAGCTGATAGTATGCTTGATGAATACAATCTTGGGCTCTCGCTCACAAGCCCCGGTGCAGCCTTGGACCCTTCACCAGAAGATCCATTCTGCGTGTCTGTTGTTCCACCTTGGCCGCCAGCTCCTCCGCTACCGCTCTGCCCTCCTTGCCCGCTGGAACTGCATCCCCCAGACGGGCAAGTCTTGGCAGTCGAGTTTCTAGCAGGCGTGGCGATAGGAGCCGGCGCGGCTTTGCATCCTTCGAAAGGACAAGGACTCCCAGCTTTCTTCTGAACTGCTGTAGGAGTAGGAACAAGCGTCGCCTGTCCACAAAGCGTACAGGGAGTCTGCACCACTGGTGGAATAGTGCCATTCTTCGCACAACCACCATCATATCCGTCGATCTGGTAAAGACTCAAGACGTCTTGTCCTCCACACTTGCCGCTGGTCTCATCGCCGGCGGTACAGAGATCTGTGCAGCGAGTTTCATCGACTAAATCGAAAGATGCAGATGCGCTACCGTTATCGCAGTAACATGTTCCACTACCGATTGCGACAAGACTCCCTTTGGCGGCGCAGGCTTGGAGGCATTGATGGGTTGTGAAAGGCGAGGGCAGAGTTGTTGCTGAGAAGGTTGGTGTTTGGGAGATGCAGCCGATGTATTTTGGGGGAGGTTGAGGGAGGGCGACTGCGAAGAAGACCATAGGAAGAAGGATTAATAGATGCATCCTTGTAGCCATAATTGTTAAATTGTGTAAATGGCGGTCTTGATTTCAATATTGTGGTTGTAGTTGTTGTAAGTAGTATGATAATGATGTTTAGCCAAGCGATCCCCAGGTCTTATATACTCTTGTTCCATCCCAACCTCTTCGCCATCAACTATCCACAGCATTTTCATGATAAGGCTCTTTCAATGAATAACATTCTGTATCCTCGGGCATAACAGATTGAGAATTACCAAAATATGGGGTTTGACAATTTGCGTTCCAATCTGCGGCAGACAATGTTGGCGTAGTGGCAGGCACCTAGTAGCAGATTTGTCTCAGACATCAACACCATTGCCAGGAATGCTTACTTGGGATTGGTCAGCTTGCCTTGACAATCTCAAACTTATTGAGGGAAGATTTTTCTTGAAAAACGAGCGGATTGTTCTTCATTGTCATTTGGCCCTTCGTCGCTTACAAGCTGCAATGAAATGAAGGATTTTACATTCAAGTACCATTCAGTTGACATTCTCAAAACCCATATGCAGACCCGATACACCGTACGACTGTCTTACAATACTTCCGTGTCTCAAGTATTTTCCTCCTAGCCCTAGCAAGCATACACCATCGTCCCTTAAACCTTACCAACCACAGCAGCTCATTGCCAGCCTCATCCTCTAATCCTCGTTCTTCTTACAATTTGGCGTAACAGTAGGAGTTACATACTCCGTCCCACAGCCAACAGGACAATCCTCACCGCAAGGGTAGCTGGTCGTAACCGTGGCAGGCGACTCGGGGCATCCGCAAACTGAACTCACCGTCTCCAAGGTCAAACACATCGGCCTAATACAATCAGAACAAATAGTCGCTGTTTCAGTGACAGTAGGACACTTGGGTTTCTTAGTAACAGTTCCATAAGCTGAAGCGTAGGTGTAAGAAGTTGCGCAGCCACTGGGACACTTTGACTTGGAGCAGGGGAATGATGTGCCAGAGGTTGGGACCTTGGAGGGGCAGTTTCGCTGGGAGGAGATGGTTTCGATAGTGAGACAGGCGGGGACAACGCAGGTTGTGCAGAGAGTTGCAGTGGTTGTGACGGTTGGGCAGGGCTTGGAGGATTTCTTTGCGATGGTGGGAGAGCTGAGTTTGTTAGTTGGGTGTGTTTGGGTATGGAAGGGGGGGATTACATTGTGAGAAGGGTTGTGAGGAAGTAGAGAGACCACATGTTGTCAAGGTAGTCAAGACTATATGTAGTGTTTTACTTGAAGAATTGTTAAGAATAAAATATGTTTCTAGCAGTTTTAAGACTCAGCGATATCACAAACCTCTTCTATTACAGCAGCAACATCCTCACCTCTTATACTTGAACCCTCACACCTTCAGAATACCAACATCGTCAGCCGAGACCGAAATACGAGGTTTAGCAAAGCCCATCACAATCGCTGCCGACGATCCGATCTTTGTAGTCCAACAGAATCCCACTTCCCAAATGAAGGAATGAGGATGACAGCCGGTGATGTAAATGAGGCACGTGGATTGGCTTGGGGGCTGAAAAGATGGCGTAGGAGGACCCTGAATCACTCTTGGGTGGACGCATTGAGCGTTGGCATTTATGTGAGGGGAAGTAATACGAGCGATGTGATGTTGGGATTGCCAAGTTGGGGTCGTGCGTGTTTGGTTTGAGCGAAGCTATATTTAAATCGGTTGTTGCGGTGATGATCATTGTTTTCGGTTATCTAGGTATTCCCTCTGATGTTTCTGTATGTGAAGCTTTGCGTCTCCTTCGTGAGTCGCTGTCCGCCGCAGAGTTGGTCTGTCAATATGATGGCAGTAAGACTGAATGAGGCCTTCCATTTGTGGTAGAGGGCAACACAACGTACGCCTTGCACGTAGAATGGGGAGACCAATACTGCACACAACGAATCCAATGCTTCTGATTGTCATGGTCTATCATGGCCCTTCACAGGAAAAAGAAAGCAGCCTTGGGGCAAGTCCTAACCTTCTAAAGCCTTTGGCATATGCCAACGTCTAACGTGCTCACTTCTTCTCCTCTTTCTCCCTCTTCCACTCATCCACAACCTTCTGGACAACCTTATCCAGATCCTCATCCTCCAATCCCAACTCCTTCATCGCAAACGCATCTCCCCGCTTCGGCCACTCGGCATCAAGCGCTCCCAACACAAACACAATCTCCTCCATCGCATGGTGGCTATACTCCACCGCCAACTTATTAACCTCCCTCTCTAAGAACGCCTCCGAGTCTACAAACTCCTTCTTCCACTCTACACCCGTAGCTTTCTCCAGTGCTGCTACAACCTCAAGCTGTGTCTTGCAGAAGCTTTGTACGTAGAGAAGACGGTTCTTCGTTGTATCGGGGCGCTTGAGAACGGCGACTAATGCTTCAGCAACACGGTGGAGTGTAGATGCTGAGGCTGGGACATCGCCCTTGTCGAGGATGACAGCGGTGTTGGTCTCAAGATCGGTGTGTAGCAGACCATCGAGAATACCATAATCGAAGAAATGCCCACAGACAAGCGATGTCCATGAGAAACCAGGGTATTCATTTGCAAGCTCGACAGCTTTACTCCTTACAGTATCCTTGTCACGGTATAGCTTCAAAAGCTTCTTCGCCTGTTCGCTCTGTGCATCACAGCTCCCAAAATCAGCTGGAATGAACCTCTTGACACCAGCTTTCGCAGATGCTTCAGCAAGACGTAAATGCTGGTCAACAACGCCTGTCAAAGGAAATGAAGCGATGACAGCATCTTGCTCTTTCAAGATAGGGATCAAGCCTTCAATGGAAAGGTCATCTGGTATCGTGACGATATTCACGGAGGATGCGTGCGCAGGGGTAGATTTGGACGATGCGCGCTTGGCGACGGAAACGGAGAAGGAGTTCAAGGCGACCAGACCTTCAAGAAGGACCGAGCCTAGATTGCCATTTGCGCCGACGAGGAGGACTTTGTTGATAGACATGATGCGATGACAAGCTGCAGATGGAAAGGAAGGTCGGTGAAGATGCTTGGGTCAAGCAAAAGAAAAGATACGACACCGCGGGGTAGTTTAGCTATGTAATGCGGGGTACATTTCGCAATTGATCATCTCAGTGATTCAACGCTCTTCTACTCACAAAAGCAATCTAGACATCGGGATGACGCTCCGACGCGAGAACACGGAAAGCCACCCCGAAAGTGCATCTCTCCCATCGCGGAGGCCTTCCGCCGTCGCACTAGCGCGAAACAATCCAACACATAAATATGCCCCTCTGATAACATTCCGAATTAGGTAAATGCACTAGCGAGATCTGCCGGGCTTCGGTGTTGATATTCGTATTCTGTTGCTCCGTGTCCGAGTGCGACGCCGGGTCTTAGCGTGCGTATCTCCGGCCGCGAGGTCCCACAAAATAGTCCGAGAAGACGCGGGGGGCCGATATGTGTAAGGGGGAGTGATGTCTATGACGGTGAGAGTTGAGGCTGAATGTGCTGATTGGGAGGGGGGACCGTATAATTTACGGATAAGATTATGGTCTGCAGAAGGAATCAGTGTCAGCAGTATAAATGTAAGTTTATTATACAGATTTGAGATTGGTGATATACGTATTTAGCATTGCTTGTACTAAGAATATCGATCTAGTACCACTCCCCACTGTTGTCGATTTAATGAGAATTACAGCATCCTTTCTACGTACCCATATCTGTTAATAAAAATACTTCAGCCAAGATGCTTCACTGCTTCAAAACTGTCAAACCCTTGAACACATGCATATCTATCCAGTTTAAACATCACTTCATGTGTCACCCCGGGGCCAATGAGCTTGAACTTCTCCCCCATTGGAGATCCTCGCGTGGAAGTGTTGTTAAGTCCGCCCCGTGCATCACCCCATTCGTTACAGTCTCGCTTCATCTCAACCGTTTTGTCTCACTGGGGTAACTACCTCACATCACACCTGCACCTGTGAATCAGTGGCACGGAGAAAACAATGTGATATATAAAGGCCAGCCCCCCTCTTCATTCTATCTCAACTCAAACCTCAACTCACCTCCAACACCAACATCAACATGATTGACAACAAAGAAATCGTTCTCATCACTGGTGCCAACACCGGCATCGGCTTTGAGACTGTCAAAGCTCTTTTCGTTTCTCCCAAGCCTTACCATATTCTACTTGGAAGCCGTGATCCCGCTAAGGGAGAGAAGGCTGTCGCCGAACTAGAGCACGAATGCCCTAGCTCCAAGAGCAGTTTGGACGTTGTTCAGATTGACATCACTGATGATGAAGCTATCGAGAGGCTCTTCGAACATGTGAAGGAAAAGTTTGGAAGACTTGACATTCTCGTTAACAATGCTGGCAAGTTGCTCAACATCCAAATCTAACACTTATGCTAATCGTAACAGGCGCAAACTTTGATGCATTCAATGATGCCAGCGATCCCAAGAAAGCTCGCGAGCTTTTCAACAAGTCCTACGATGTCAACGTCTCGAGCACGCAAGTCATGACTTCGGCTTTCGCTCCTCTCCTCATCGCCTCGAAATCCCCGCGCCTCCTCTTCTTGACCTCCGGCCTTGCGACCCTCGAAGGTGCACACAAGTCATACTTGACCAAGCTCGCGGGCGAGGTTCCCCGGGGCTGGCCCAAGGAGGGAATCCGTACAGCTGTGGCTTATCGATCATCCAAGACCGCCCTCAACATGATGATGCTTTCATGGCATCATCTCCTCAAGGGCGATGGTGTCAGAGTCTGGTCAATTAGTCCTGGCTTTCTGGCAACGAGCCTTGGAGGAAAGCCCGAAGTGCTGAAGAAGGCTGGAGCTGGTGATCCAGCAACTGGTGCGGAGCTCATCAAGAACGTTATTGAGGGCAAGAGAGATGAAGATGTCGGAAAGGTTATTGGACAGCCTGAATGGGTTGGGGAGACTGGAATCCAGGCATGGTAGTCCTGTTCTGCTGGGATATCATTACAAACATGACTCGAAATAGCAAGGCCGAGTCAGCAACAATCTGAACAATTCGGCGAATTTTCACATTGACGTGTAAATTCTTTCAGTGACAGCAATTAGCAAAGCCACATTGATGATGTATCTATCGTCCACTATCAAAAGTCCCTACCACAGAACAATCATAGCGCTGGTCTTGGTGATCCGAGCGCCCTAAAGAAATGAGATGAAAAAGAAACTTCTGTTCGCTCGCTTGGCACTTTATGCGCTGAGAGTATACGTCATTGCAACTATCCAGCTCAGCCTTTGTGTCATTCGCTGGCAGTTTGTGGAGGGATGTTCCATGTAAGCGGAAGTTGAGTGACGGAGCATTGCACAAGACCATTTTCTAGATGGGTATGGACCCTTGCTGGACATGTGATTAGAATCAGGGTCGAAAGGGTTTATTCTGAGAATAGAATAAAGAGGAATATGGAGGTGGCTTGGATTACGAGAGATGAGGATGACCTAGAGACAGTGTGCCAGGGAGTTGATACAGTATTTAGCTGTAGGCTTTGCGGTGTCACAGTGCGAGACATTCAACTCCCGGAACCCTTTTCGGGCCCGGCATCGCAACCCCTGATCCACAAAGTGACGTCGGCAGTGCCGCGGAGTGCGTTGCGTACTCCGGACGCGTCTCCACAGCCTCCGACTTTCTGACTCCAATTCATTGAATACGCCCATCGCCATGAAGGTGCCAGTATCACAAACCAAGCAAAGGCTTCCAAAAGGAAAAATAGCAACAAAAAAGGACAACAGCAGGCAAACACACTAACGTCTCGGCGCATGAAGCATCTAGAACATCAAATATGGACCCTGCCAAGAATTCAACAGCTCAATAAATAGGCGGCCGTTTTTAATATTTACTTGTCAGGCACGGCACGGCGCAGCACAGCCCCCGATGCTGAGCTGACGTTGGGTTTTCACCCTCAGCTTAGGTTCCCGTTAATGAATCGTAGGCAGTTAATAAATGGGTAGGGGAGTAAAAATGCAAGGCTGATCCTTTTAACCCAAGTACGGAAGGATTGTCTGCGTCTTGTTTCTTCTCTTCACTCGCTCTTCTGCCACGTCGCATCACTCACTGTTACTGTTGCTATACATTGCCCGTTTTACTTATTACCTTAGACTCCCGTCTTCCCCTTCGGCCCAACGTAACGCTTAATACCTTAACTCTACTTTACTCGAACCTACTTGATACCCCAGCTTTCATATTCTCTTCTTTTCTATTTTGCGAATATTCTGCCGGCACTTTCTCTGCCACGGAATAAACGAGGTTGGAGGTGGATTATTTACTTGCTTCGCCAACCTCCCGCTCTCGGGGTTCTTCTCACTTTCTCGCCCCCACGTCCATCATACCTTTTTCAACATACAACATCCAAGAATGGAAGCTCGCTCTCTAACAGCACTAAATAACCTCGCGGGCAATCCGCCTCAATACCCTATCAACCCAGCGCAGGAGAAACAAGATCCTCTGACGCTCTATATCTCCAGAGTACCGGGTACTCGAGGTAAGACAACACCCCTCTCAACCCCCACCGGGTCTGACACTAACACCGCCTCTGAACCCAGATGTCATTCTATCACCTTTCAAACCACAACTCAAAAACGTTACCGCCGAGGATGTCGCCAGCTGTCTTTACTACGTCCACTTTGAAGCACCGTCGCTAGAACCTGCCGGTCCACTACGAGATGACGAGCACCGGTCTTCGAGTGATGAGAGCTCGTCAATACGGAATATTAAGAGGAAGCCTTTGCCTGGTGGCGCAAGACCATTGACGCCCCCTCCGACCGATCATCTTCCTGTACCTGGCTACGTAAACGAGAACCAGGACCCTACGAGAAGACGGGGCCTTTCGGTCAATTCGACCTTTGATCCTCGACAAACGTCAGCACGACATGGTTATGAACAAGAGGAAGAAAGCCCAGTTCTACCACCTCGACCAAACAATGTCCCCAGAATCCAGACTCCGGAACCTGCTGTAGCCCGGAAACCACTTGGGCCTCGGATGACATCGAACAATGCCTCCGCACTCGGCGACCATCCTCTCCCGCCCCTTCCACCTCCCAACCAGGGAGGTCCCGATTTCGATCGAATGCGTGCGACGAGTCGCCCTCCCCGACCGAATCGAAACACCGAAAACCGCTCTCCCTCGCCTCGAAAAAGCTATGAAGGAAAGCAGCCTTTTACATTAGCTCTAATCCGCCGTGATCCCAGCACAGGAAATCAGTGGAACGTTGGACATATTTCGTCTTTCCAGTCTGAAGCACCACCACCTGATCAGGACGACGCGAACCCGTTGTTCGCCTCTGTACCGCCCGTTGCGCAACCGCCAACTTCCGGGAACCCACCCATAAACGTTCAGATCGAGACTCTTGGCTATGGAAAGTTCCGCGGTATGCCTGCGCGACGGAGCTTCGACGCGGGCCCAGGCTCAGATATGACTCAGCCACGGGACGGTGGTATTGTGCTACAGAGACAAATTGCAATGGCTTACGGGAAAAGCTGGGCATCGAATTGGCGAGAGAAACTGCAAGACGGCGCTGGAAAGGGGCATGGGCGACAGGGTAGTGTCGGATCGATCGAATCAACCGAGGCCTCTTCGCCTGTTGAACCTGCGATTTCAATGCATCCTGGTCCAGGACTGAGGCCTCGGGGATACATCTTTACCAGTCCCTGGAACGGAAGGTGTGAATTCCGCACAGGAGCTGCTGGTCGAAGCTTGCGCTGCTATCACATTCTGCATGATGATAGACCAAGCAATCCTCTGGCTGAGTTCAGTCAGGGGCAAATCCAAGGTGGCGGTAGCGGCATGCCGATGAGTGAACTTCGATTCAATCTTCCTACAGCAGAACTCTTCAAGTCTGCTGAAGGTCGTGAGGAAGTCAAGACCCAGCTCCAAGGGCATTTCAACAAGTTACTCCGCCGCGATGAACGAGGTGATGGTTACGACAACGACGGCATGGTTTCGCCATTCGACATAAATCTTGGAAAGGAGAAAGCCGGCGGTGGCAACCGAGGAAAGAGAGCCAAGCTGGGCAAACTCATCATCTATCCTGATGGACTCAAGATGCTCGATCTACTGGTATCTGCAAACATGGGCCTTTGGTGGCAAGCTTGGGAGAAGAGTTTTTAGGGAACTCGTGACCATCTAAACCAATTTTTGAGATACCTACTTAATTTCTGGGGTTTTTGTTTTCGCTATTGTAAAGGTGGTGGTTTGCATGTTGGCTATTTACGTAGAGGGAGTTGCCGCGAGGATTGAGACGACATAACGATCATGTGGAAACGGCTGAAATACCAAAACATAGCAATTGGATGATTTATAGATGAAATGATTTAATTACATCAATTTTCCTTATTAATATGAGATCATCATTGGTTCATGATGTTTTGTGACGATGAAGTTCAGCTGAGGTCGATCACGTGCAAAGTCACGAGTGGCATTCCAGCCAATCAACAGCCTAGAGTTGTAATCCCGCTGAGCAACTTTCGTAGCCGAACACATCCATCACGTCAAATCGTCGCCTCCCGCCCAGCCCGTCCGCCTCAATTGACCCCGGGACGTCAAGTCAATTGACACTCCTTCGAATCTCCCCTCCTCCTCGATTATCCTTCTCGACACAATGGCTCACGCACTCATCGCGCGACGCCAGCTCGCCTCCGCTGCCACCAGCAGAGCTAGCATCCTCGGCCTGGTTCAACAGCGAAGCTACGCGACACCTCATGGACCTCCTCCCGCCAACTTCCGAACGAGCAAGCCCGTGCAGTGGACTTGGGACAGGGACAGCACCCTCGATCGCATGGGAAAGTTTTTCCTCATGACGGAGATGGCGAGGGGAATGTATGTTCTGCTTGAGCAGTTCTTCCGGCCACCGTATGTTATAAAGAACCTGGACATTGAGGGAGGGGAATTGGACTGACGAGGGATTAGTTATACAATTTACTACCCTTTCGAGAAGGTATATGACGTCAAACGAAGCTACATACGCAAATAACTGACCCAGTCAGGGCCCTATTTCTCCTCGATTCCGTGGCGAGCATGCCCTTCGACGATACCCCTCCGGTGAAGAGCGATGCATTGCCTGCAAGCTTTGCGAGGCTGTACGACACCACATATTTCAAGTGGCATCTAAGTTGCTGACATGAAATAACAGATTTGCCCCGCCCAGGCCATTACCATCGAGGCTGAGGAGCGAGCTGACGGATCCCGCCGAACAACCAAGTACGATATTGACATGACCAAGTGCATTTACTGCGGTTTCTGCCAGGAGTCCTGCCCCGTCGACGCTATCGTTGAGTCGCCCAACGCCGAGTACGCCACCGAGACCCGAGAAGAGCTTCTTTACAACAAGGGTGCGTATCCTACCACCTCCACAATCTACCAAGGTCGTCCTCCGAGATCATTACTAACAGTTCAACAGAGAAGCTTCTCTCCAACGGAGACAAGTGGGAGCCTGAGCTTGCAGCTGCTATCCGCGCCGACTCACCATACCGATAAACGATAAGAAAAGGAAAGGGAGAAGAGGAAAGCATGGTTTTTATGTTGTTTTGTTTGTTGCCTCGGGTCGTTTGAAACGTCGCTATTGTAGGAACAGGATCATTTTTTGGTGGAAAGGCGGCATGGGATACGATGAGGCTTCAGACGGAAGGGATGGGTGGGTGTACATAATCTAGATGTCCAAAATGCCTCTTTGTCACTCAATTGGCTGGTGTTTGTGAAGCTGAAGGTAGGAGAAGTCATGATCAAGAGGAGCAGTGTACAGCATAGTGGTGAGGTCGGTTCTTTGGTGTTGTGGTCACTAACGGGAGTTTCAGCACGTCAACATCATAATCATGATTCATTCAACTAATTATATACAACGAAAGGCTCAGGCTAGGCTTATTTGGGAGCTGGGTATGCGCACTTCTTAACCTCAGGCTTGGTTTCAGCAGCCGCGAGAGCAACCTCAGTCAAACCAGAAGCAACCTGCTTCATCCACATGTGGTACTGCTTCTCACTGGGATAGAAAGGACAAGCTGCCGAGCCACTCTCCTCGCCAAACTCAATAGTGTAGCTCTGCAGCTTGCTCTTACCGCAAGCCTTGCCGTAGAATCGGCCAAGGGCGTAGTCAGTGCTGGCTCCGGAAGTGGGATACAGACCAACAGCCTCTTGCACGACGTACTTGGTGGTACCAGCGCTCTCCATGGACTTCTTCATGCTGTTGCCGACCTTCTTCTGGACGTTGATGTCCTTGGAGGTAATGTACTCCTTGTACTTAGTCTTGGCGGTCTCAGCGTCGCCGAGAACACCACGACGTCCGTCAAACTTCTTGTTCGCGAAACTCTCCTTGGGGTCTTTGGTCTGCGCATCATCATCACCCCATGCGTAGAGAATATCGCCGCCGAAAGAGTGCAGGTCGACGAACCAGCTTAGGCTCTTGTACTTGTCCATGACCCAGACAACGTTCTTGGTCTCGGGCTCTGACTCGGGGCCAGTACCGTGGAAGACCTCACTGGTGGGATCCTCAGAGGCAACGGAGCTCAGATCAATGCCTGAGTTGAACGCCTTCTTGTAGTTGAACAAGAAGTCGTAGTTGCGGTTGATGTCGATACCAATGGCATCGGGGTTGCCCTTTGAGCTCTTGGGGTTGCGGTTCTTGCGCCAGCATGAGTTGGTGGATTGATCGTATTTGACACCATCGGGGTTGATGATGGGAAGGACGACGATACCGCCATCAACAGCCTTGCGGACTTGGGCAGCAGTGAAAGTAGTCTTGCCATACTTAAGACCCTTACCCGCCTTGCGAGCGTGAAGAAGGTCAGACAGCCAGTAGACTACATGATCGGGGCCACCACGCTCACGCGCATGGGCACCGCTAATGATGAAGAACTTGGGGTTCTTTCCAATCTTTGCACCAAGGGTCTTTACGCCCTCGTAGGTCTTGTAGGGGGGACGAATGAGCTCAACCTCCTTGAAGTTCTTAGCAAGACCCTCAAGAGCAGAAGAGACCTCAGCGGGAGTGAGAATGGACTTGAGGTTGCGGTCTGAAGTAGAAAGGCCCTTGGGGACGATAGTGCCTTTCTTGAAGCGATCGCCCGTTCCGATGGGGAAATCGGGTTCCGGGCGGGTAGCCTGTCTAGCGGCGAGGACTGCAGCGCGCTCCGAATGGGGGACTGAGTCGGAGGGGATAAGACAGGCAGAAGCCGAAAGAGCGTAGGCTAAAAGTTGAAGCTTCATGATTGGAACCCGTTGTAAGAAATGACTACCAGTGAGGGATGAGGAGTGAATGAAGTCCCAATGATGGGAGAGAAGAGGGTTATATTTAAGCTTAAGCTTAAGACAATTGATCAACGAGACATTGAATCTCCCGTACGACGTTGGAATTCTTGGCCCTGTGAATCAACTGGATTCCAGTGGCTCTCCTTCCTATCTCAGCCAGCTTCCCGTAAACAAAGTCCCCCTGGGGGCACGGGCAGACTGTTTGTGGTAGGTGAAGCGATAGATAACATGCAGCAAGGGGCCATGATTGGTTGAGTACAAGGAACGTTTGTAGACGATCTTTTGGTGATTACAATCTGACCTGGGGAACATAGACAAGGGACATTCATGCTGAGTCGGTAGTTGGTGCTTATTGGGGGAATTGGAAGCTTGGCCCTGGAATGGAGAGATGGAGGTTCAGGGTAGGAGATGTAGGATGGCTGGTCTGGCGGTATGGGCTTATCTGTAGGACATGGGGAAGTTACCAAAAACTGAAAGTTATCTTTTGGTCTACCAAGCATTGAATTAACATTTAAATCTGTCAATTGACAGATGAGAATGGGCAAACTCGTGAGTACTTTTGTCTAACATTTGGTAGTGTTCGTGTCAGTTGCTTCCCCAGATTGAAAGAGACCAATGGGGACAAGTTCGATTATGCTGACTAGACTACAACCAGCGTTTCAATCAATAAACACCATAAGTCTTACAGAGTACGTCTCACGAATTGACTTTCACCTCGATTCCACTTCCTCATAAGTTCTCATTACAACCAAGTTCTCAATGCCTTTCCTCTCCCTCGGCCTCGTCACCCAATCACACCTCCGCCCTCGCTGACGTATACCGGAGCGTTCCCCCGATTTGATCACGTGACTACGCCCAAACCGAGCTTAGCTTAGCTTTCTCCATCGGAACAGACCAGTCAACCCGGGTAGCAACGAGAAATTTATCATCACCTTCAACCTCATCATCCAAACTCCACCACCGCCCACCGACGTCAATTGACCCTTTCCTCCTCGACACCTGGGAAAAGAGAAAATACAGCCAAAATGTTCCGATCAGCAGTCCTCCGATCCGTCCGCGTCGCCGCCCGTCCCGCCATGCGCTCATTCGCCGTGGCGCCCCGCGTCGCTACCGCTGCCGTTCCCAAGATCCAGAGCTTCCAGGCCGTGCGGTTCTACAGCGCTGGCGGTGCGCTTAACAAGGAGGAGGTCGAGGGCCGAATTATGAGCTTGTTGAAGGGCTTCGACAAGGTGAGAAATCATCTCCGAGATGGCAATGGATTCACCGAGGGAATCCCCCTCCAAATTGCCGATCTGATAAACCAGTAGCTAACGATAGTCTTAGGTCAACGATGTCTCCAACGTACGTCTCGATAATCAACATATTCGAATACTTACCTAACCATTCGCAGATCGGTACCAGCGCTCACTTCGCCAACGACCTCGGTCTCGACTCTCTTGACACCGTCGAGGTCGTCATGGCCATTGAGGAGGAATTCAGCATTGAGATCCCCGACAAGGATGCCGACTCCATCCACTCCGGTATATCTAGCCTTTCCCCCCTTTAGCTCCAGAACAGCATACTAACAAACCCCCAGTCCAACAGGCTGTTGAGTACATCCTGAACCAGCCCGACGCCAACTAAACGTATATCTCCCAAACCGCCACCCCTCTTTTCCTCCTCATTGTACAATTACCACTCTCATGACCACCGAAATCCTTCCTCGGCAAGGATTTAAAAGACGCCGATAAAAAAAGCCAGCGGGGGATATTGAAGGGGGTGGTGGTGGAAGGAAAGATATAACAGCGCAATATAACGCATCAAGTTCTTTTTTAATCTCGGCGCACCATGAGACGGTTCATTGTTTTCCAGACGGTCGTGGAGGAGGGAGCCACAGGAGGAGAGCTGAAGAGATGTTTGAATGAAAGAATTGGCGACGAGTGTTCGGCTTGAAGTGTATGCTTGACGTCCTCCTTCACTGCTCGAAGGAATGCCACGATTGGCTATTCCCTGGTTTTCATACTGTAAAGCAGTGAATACGGCGAATGGGATACATTGAGTTCGCTGAGTTGGTGAAGGGTAGAAGGTGGAATCTCTACTCTGTGGCTTTGTATAGTGTATAGAAACACCCAATCTCTCTACCTACGTTCTGTGACTGCTCCTTGTAGAGCTCACATAGCCGCTATCCCCGATATCACATCCCCACCAGGTAGTATGACTAGTACGCAGGCCTCATTATCACGTAAAGACCCAAAGATCTGCCGCGAATCAACATTACATCACCGCAAATGGCTAGGTACGAAGTAAATCCAGTGCCAACAGGCCCGGTGAACACGTAATGTTCATTATGCATCCTCCCATACATGCAGCTATTTTCATACATGATTTGCCTCGATTTATCTAGCGAGGTCTTGACCCCCATTTGCGATTGTTTTTGTAGATCCGAACCTCCCCAAAACACCATGCCCAAGATGACGACGTTACCAAGCAGAGAGACCCAATTATGCATCGAGCATGCAAATCAGCCTTGCTTGTTACCCTCATCAAGCCTAAAAACTGAGTGGGCAGAAATCAGATTCCATCCGCCTTCCAAAGCAGCTCATGATATGATAGCGATTATCAAGCAATATATGAAAACAGAAAATGTCAAAACTCCTGGCCGTGTATCCTATATCCTTTTTGATCTTGGCCATACTAAATTGCCATGCATCCTCATATTTTTCTTTCGTCCGTTCCACTCAAGCGTAAAGCTTGCTGGCGAAATGCAGTATGTCGTAGCGACTGTGGTATTGTCCGCTCAAGATCATGGCTCATCAACTCGTCACCTCCTTTTTTTGTCTAAGCTACCAACTCCGACGCTTGGCTGATAAAACTGAAACCAGTTGTTCAAAGACGCTATCCTCCGCCTTCGGCCTGGTTGTTTATCGGCCGCTGACAGGAACTCCCTTTGTTCCATTGGTGGAAGGCTTGCCGGCGACAGCACCAGCATAGCTGCTCCAGACATTGGCCAAGCCAGCTGAGGTCCTCTTGGGTGACTTGATAGAAGGCTCACCGTCTTCCTCCATGCCCTCCATGTGGAACATTTCGTCGTCTTCGTTGATTGGGGTAGTGAATCGGCCATTCATAGATGAGCTGATGCTACCGCTTGACACATGACGTTCCATGCCACCACGCTCTTTGCCAATAGGACTGATGGGGCTAATGGCACTAGCGGTAGCACCAGCTCGAGCGGCCGCGGGGTGGAGAAGAGGGCTAGAATTGCCTGCAGTGTCATCAAGACGGCTTCGCTGAAGTTGCTGAGAAAGCATGGACATGCCGTCACTGCCAGATCGCAAAGAAGATGGACGGACAAATCCATTTGTGCCTCCCATCTCTTGAGAAAGAACAGAGTTCCGGAGTGGGCTTCCTACGTGACCAAAAGCAGAAGCACCTCGGAGAGATCGGGAGGTTTCCTCCTCTTCCTTCTGTCGCTGGAACATAGGACCCCATCGGCTAGGGCTGGTTCCGATGGGACTGCCGTATTTGCTGAGGCCCTCGACATCGCTGTCAGCTCGCATAGAGCCACGGCGAGCCTTTTCGACTGGAGTCAAGAGGTCTTGGAGGTTTTCGGGTACATAGTTCTCGGGGAGATTGTCGTCATCGTCGCCAAAGGCAAAACCAGGCTCCCAGTCTCGGTCAACAGACGTCTTAGGCATGCTGGAACTGAGCATCCGGGGCTTGGTAAAGCGGGACGAGTGCATAGCTCGCCTGCCAAAATACTCCTCCCCGTTGGCTTGATGAGAGTTAGGAGGGCTTCTATCCAGAGGGGCCAAGAGGTGTTCCGACGAACCAAATGCTGAAGTGTGTAAAAGCTTGAGAGTCTCCGACGTACGCGAGTCCTTAGCATTGCTGAGCGAAGGAGTTGGCGATTCGATGCCAAATTGGTTGGGAACGGACGATGGCCACGGACCAGCGGGGAAGCGAGCAGCGTTGGAGATGCCATTGGAATCGAAAGATGCGGGGAGAGGAGCGTCTAGGACAGAGAGACCCTTGTTGTTGATAGGAGAAAGTCCCATGCCAAAGCGCAAGGACTCTTCGTCTCGGGGAGAACCGTAGTTGGATCCAGTATAGGACATATCGATGGTTGGGAGACCATTCTCAAGGCTAGGCTGTCGACCGAGAGTATGTTGATCTTGTTCATCGTAGGGATATGCCGGAGTGTATGCTGGAACGTCAGCGCGGTAGAGGGAGGTGGTAAGGGCGCTGGTGGAGGATTGATTGTTGCTTGCGGAGGTGGGGTTGGATCGACCCGCGAGGGCGGAAGTATTGCCTATCGTGACGCCATTCTTTCCGTAGTTGATGCGTCGACCGTCAGGGAGGATATGGATATTTGCGCATTTCGGACCAAATTTGCAGTTTCCCTGTAATTGAAAGACGATCGTCAGTGCTGCTGTGGATTGGAGGCGTTGCGACGTGGTGAGGGGTGGATGCGGCTGGCAGCGGGCGATGGATCATGATATGGCGCACTCACCTTTGCAAAGTATTTGCAGACGTTCTCAGCAGCGTTGCTCAGATCGTGACTGAAAGGACAGGCATTACCAGCCTGACAAGCACCTTGGCGAAAGAACTTGCAAGGAACGTGGGACGTATCTATGATCCAGTCGTGTCAGTAGGGACGACATTTGGTATTCAAGGTTTGGCGGGGGTCGTGTGCAACATGCAACAACCACGCAGCAAAGCAAAGCAACAATGGGTGGACATAACGTACTCGGGGGACTTCGGGGTCCATCGAAGCGGGGAGTATTCGCCATAGCGCTCGCCTGAGAGTGTGAACCGCCGTTGGCAACGCTGAGGCTACCGCTTCTGGCGTGGCGGTATTCAGGCATGATACTCTCGTGTTGGAGGGCTGATGATGGGTTGAAGCAATTCGCGATGGAGGGCGAAATCGGGGGGCGGGCCGAAGTCCAAGGTTCGAAAGAAGGGAAGGTGGAGGAAGGGCAAAAAGAAAGTGGAGGGAGTTTAGAAGAATCCGAGTTGGACACCGGGAAGTCAAAGAGGAGAGTGCTATAATGGTAGCGAGTTGAGTGAAGCCCAGCGGCGGAGCGGGCGGCAAACGATGGCCCGTAGTGGGTGAAAGTGGGCGAGAGTGGCCGAAGTGGGCGTTACTTTAGGCGTCGCAGTGTAAAGTTAGGCGTAGCAAGACTTCGTGGGTAAGAGAACCTGGAAGACCTGACGCGATTGATGCAATGCGAGTAATGGGGAAATGGTGGGGGCGTTATGATGCTCCTGTCCTGCCCTGTCTCTTCTGTTTTGTCTGTGGCCTGGCCTGGGCTGTTCTTTGCGAGCAACGAGCGACGGATATGGAGGGGTGAACAGACAAAAGTGACTTTGATATCCCGCAGTGATGATATGCTTAAGCTTGTACCTCACGGACGGGGTATGTCGCCGTGCCCGGACTCTGATGGTGCAACCGGCAGCGACGGCGGATATGTTTCCACTACCGGTAAGATAATTGCGAGTAAGTCGTAATTAGAGTGGCGCAAGATGATACAAAAGAGTTGAGATAACGAATTGAGCAAGTTCAGGTTTTCTTTCTGAGCTGAGGAGAAATAAATGGCGGCGAAAGAGAGGCACCTGACAAACGAGGATCTGATCCTGGTTTAGATGCGTTATGCCCTGTAAACCAGAAATGCTACCCCGTACTTCCTATTCTGTAGTACCACTCACTCGAGTTGTCGAGTACTGTACTCGGCAGGCAATGCAGTGCAGATGTTCGCATCGAATAGCGATCCGCTTGTATGAGGCCACTTTTGTTTATTGGGTCAGCCAAGGAAATACCTCCCACTCTGCAGTTCTATATCCGGAAATGTTCCAGATGGCTTAGATGAGAAGATAGTAATCCAACTGCGGATGTCCCGGGATACTTGTTTTGGTGTAAGACGAGTAAGACCTATAACTCTGCTAGGTATGCTATGTCGCTAGAGCCGTGTGAGGTCGTGATATCTCAGGTGACCGCTCACGTAGAAGGATCAAAGAATGTAAAAAGTCGGAGAGAAGTAAATGGAAGAGCCATCATACAATACAGCAGACAACGCGTCTCAGGTGGGAAAGGGCTGCCTCTTAATATACCAGCCTCCTCTGCTTACATAGCCTACACCACCAGACAGCCATCCATATCCTACAGACCTACACTTTGAGGTCCTAGACTTAGGCAGAAGATTCAACCTGAAAACCGCCAACGTGACTGACTATCGGACCCGAAACAAACCTCATCGTGTGTGTCTGTTGGCCCACCCGCCCGCCTAGACACCTCTCTACTCTGGGTGCAGACACGGCTGAGGGTGGGATAACAATGGGTTGTGGAATTCTTCAACTCTCTACAATCTGAAACATCCCATCACAGCATCCACTTCACAAGTTTACTGCATCCTCACCGGTAAACTGGAATGGCGCGGAACGTTGCGAACCGGGAGTCAGCCTAGCCTCGATGCGCAGTTCTTCAAGCCTCAACCCATGAATCTGGGAAAAGTATCTCTATGAGCTGCGTATGCTTGAAGCTAGAAGAATAGACTTTTAGGTTATTTGACGTCCCCCTTGATGGCTTGGCCTCTCATTTGCTACATGTCCCTCCCAAAAGGGCCATCTGGACGACAAGCGAAGGGAGGAATCAGGCCATCAAAAGGTCACACACGCAGATGGATGTGCTGAATAACTTGTTCTGATGCATATGTACATCTCTTAGGGTTGCACTTGAGACCGGAGGAGACACCATGCTAGTATCATAGATCTCATCTCACCGGTCTGGATCTTGCCGTTCTTGGAGCTATCGAAACATCCCAGCCTTCTCATCCAGTCATATCCAGCAGAAGAATATGAAGTGAAACATGCTTCCAATAGAATACAACGGAGAGCCCGCGAGTGAACCTGGAATGTTAGCCACGATATCATAGCCCGAGTCCGTCGACGTTGAAGCTTCATGTCTAGATTCCTGTGCCAGTGCCATCGCCACCGGCAGGTGTGAATCAACACCACCCTCTCCAACACATGCCGATTCCCCATGTCAAATAAACATCCATGACAGAAAAAAGCCATCCATTTTAGGGGATATCGACAGAGCTGAAGTCCTCGTATCTCTTTGCTCGTCAAGGGTCCCCCAAGATTTACAGGTCGCCACCCGCCGATTTATTGCCCACCATGACAGGACCCTTACAACTTCCAAGAGCCGGATATCCAGGGTTCCGCACCTGACGATCTTGCATTGCCTCTTTTTGAATAGAAGGGGGTAAGCATTTCGCGATAATGACGATACAAGATCCCTGTAAACTGATTCGTAATGCTGTGCGTGGTCCGCTGGATGTCTTCACATCATGTAGTTGACTTAGAGTACCGTGGTGTCTGCCCATACAGTACAGATGTTGGCTGGATTGTACATACAGAAATGGATATCCCTGTCTGTCTGTCTGACATACATACATAGTACATACAATTTCCCCAAGCCACCAACCGTTCATAGTCATCTTTACAATCAAGGCAATCAAAGACTATTCCCAACTCGGCCGACCAGACCCTCGACCCTCGTGTCCATGTGCGCCAGGATGCACCCACAGAGAGTCGTACCAGGGTCTCTACCCATCGACAATCCCTTGGCGTCAGTGCCTCAGCCCAGAACAAGTCGAGGCGGTCTCGATTAGGATTGTATGTAACGCGTTTGCGCTTGCGCAGCTTACCGTCTACGAGACAATATTACTGTACCGACTCTGCTGTGTTGTCCCTGCACTTGAATCCCATCTTGGACGACGCATTTGGAGAAATGACTTGTTGTGTGACATCAACCTCGCACAGCAGTAGATGCGTATCACAGGAACATGTTATATATCTCCGTGTTAAGACGCCTACCTTCGATTTGTGGAATCATTGCATTCATGTCCTTCTCCTCTGGGCTATCGGTGTTACCCCAATGCATTGTTTGTAAGTCATTGACGACATTCTCCATGCACAACCCCTGTTGCGTGGGATGTGATAACTTCATCCCTGGGGTAGGACAAAATGCAACAAGATGTCAAGTTGGATATTATTGAGTTACACAATCACATCTGCATGTATGTATTTCCTGCAGTGTCCAGCCCAGCCCAGCCCACGACATATCGGGAAGACGTGATCTTGGGGGCGCCGTTCTAGTGGAACTCAATCAACTGTTTCCAGCGGCTTTGACCCCCTGACAAACGCCCAGGTCAGTGCACTTAGAGCGAATGGCTTGTAAGGAGGGGTAGATGACGGTCCGAGCGTCGAGTCTGTGGGTCTCTGATCCAGAAATAGCCGTGCAGTTTGGCTTGTTGGCACCTCAACTTCAAGACTCCATTTATATCAATTATCAGACATTCACGATGAGGCCTGACGTTATTTACGATACAACGCGCATAACCGAGATGCTCTGCTCTATGCTTGTCTCAGTGCCATTCAGGCTATTTTGAAAGAATGATACGCTTATCGTCATCGCCCGGGCAAAGCCGGATCTAGCGAAGCTTGGAGTGTCATTGTTTTATCATCACCACTTTTCCCACATGACCTCTCATTACCGACTCACCGCGTGTGCTATCTCCGGTCTATCCACACCTCCCTGATACAGCCGCACCTTTTTTCTTTCTGTCTTCTCATTCTCCGGCTCGTTTCGTTCCATCCCGAGCCTTGTCCATCTCCACTATGTTCAAATATCCCGCGATGCCGCTGTCTCCGCGCATCCTCTCCGGTAACTATGGCACTTCCCTGCTGTAGGCCTTGGTATCTTTCACTAGTCTGCAGATGCATCGTACGGGTAGCTTCCGCAGGTCAGGATGGCTGGCTCTTTCTACCCAACGTACATACCCTTCAGTGGCAGCCGCATTCACCTAGACCAATTGACTGCCTCATCGCGTCACACATCCTTGCCCCTTCAGCTCTGATTGTACAGTGCTGAATCTGGACGATTCGTCTCTGTATGTTTATGTTTTGCAGGCGTTCGCAGGTGATTGTGCATGGGAACAGCCTTGTATTGGGTTCTTTGAGTTTCGACCTTGCAGATCTCAACCAGTAAGCTTGAGCTTCATCTGTCTCGGGATCAGTTTCTAGACCTCTATAATCAAGGAACCTGTACCCGATTATTGATCAGAAAAGGAGAGCAACCTTCTCCAACTTTTGGGACTACTTTCTACTGCGCCACGGCCGGGCGAGATGTCCTTGGTTAAGCCATCAGATCAGCCTTGGTTGTCTCAGGCGGGTGATCATCAACACCACCACCACAATCAAGACCCTCCCCAAAGAGTGGACAAATACTTGAGACCTTCAATGAGGGTGCTGAAATAACTGGTATCAAGGTCTTCCAAATTTATCCTCATTATCCGAAACTTGTCCCAGTATTTCTGTCACTTATAATCCAGGTCTCAAGTTTTCTTACATCCTGTCGCATCCCCATCACAACCCTTTTCTTGATTCGTTCCTCTCACATTTCCCCTACACCCATCTTTTATCCTGTCGATGCTTTTGGTTTTGCGAAACACCCCGTATGTCTGTCTCTCGTGGTTATCAACTGCCGAGAAGTACTGACGTTTTAGACCGGGGTTATGATATGGAAATTTGCCTCTTCTTTGACCCTCAGACTCGCAGCCTCTGTGTCGTTAGTCAAGTCCATCATACGACAGCCTTGGACAAATGTATTGGCTGTTGCATCTGAAAGAATATTGGCTGTCTGGTGGCTTGGCTGGCGTCCCCAGATTTGGCACCTTCAGCCTTTCACATCGCATAAGTGGCGTCCCTGTCGAATGTTCTAATGTACGCTGCTTGTTCCCGCCCCTCTCTCCGCAAAGCCGGGTTCACCTTGTCTGTCTGGCTTTGTCTCTCCCTGAGTCACAGCCAAACACCAACACCACGAGATGTCAACTTCTCACAGCCTTTCATTCATGATCCGGAATAAGCGCTCGGCAAGTGTTGCGCTAAGCAGAACAACACCCACTCAATGTACACCCCCCGTCCCCGTCCCCGTCCCCGTGCACTCGCTTTCTCGATCACTCAACCACTCCCACCCTGACCAGGAGATTCCTGGTCACCACACCCTCAGATTCGATGAGATCGACTCTTCCTTGACATGGGCAGCATAGTACCTAGCATCTTGAGAAGCCTCATGATCCCTGCCCCACATCATCCGACTCAATCCCGGCGGCGTCATCAGTCTTGCTCCCCCACCATGATCACGACTCTTTGGTGTTTGTCGCCTCCTTGGACGCGTTGCATCTGTATCGCCAAGCCTGAATTGTTTTGAATCCTGCTGTACTTGGCAATAGGTGTATACAGTCCGGTCAAAAGTCTCCGGCGTTGTGACATTTCCCCGCCTGCGTCAAGGGTCCTGTCTGTATTCCCTGCTGCAGAGACCCTGAGGACGATCGCAACGGCCACTACGTCTAGTTCCTGCAAGAAACCATCATTTGCAACACAACTTCCTGTTCATGTTGATGGTTACAGTAGGGCCCGAAGGAACCGGATCGCTACAACCGTGCTTCACCCTATCATCTGGTGTTGCTCGTGAACACCATATTAACTTTCGAAGCATGACATGACACCATTCTTATGGAATCACCGCAAAGCATTCTTCTGTCATCAACTCCGGCGTTCTAGAGCGCCTGACGGGCTCTTCCAAGGTCTACGATAGCACCAGTCATGCGCTCTATGACTAGCACAGCGCCCAGAGCCTCGTTTGCTGACACTCTCATGACAAAACCCAATGGCAGGCCTGACTCCTCTTCGGATGACCTTCTTGCCTGGCGCATGTCTTAAGCCCGGCCTCGTATCAGCCCCGACGAATGGGACGGGCCGGTGAGGTGAGGTCAAAGACCTTCCGGCCGGACGCGTGACGAGCCGTGTACTCTCCACTGCGGAGGAGACGTTGTGGCGAAGGTTGGGGAACGCTGGTCTTGCAGTGAGGGAACTTGTGGCTGGTGATGTTGATCAGTTTGGAGAGGGGTGGTAGGCGTGCCTGCCATCCAGTGATGTTGTCGAACCGTCAAAACACGGAGGTGAGCAAGGTGACAGGTTGTGGCGTTTCATTCTAGCCTATTCGTTCAAAAACGAAGGCGGTCTGTTCTCCTTTTTTGGTCTATCACGTCCGTGAACCTGTCTACTCCAGCAATGTGAGACAAACAGATGCAAAAAAGCGATGAAGGTAGGTCTCGGAAAGGTCTCGAGTAACACTCGGCTAGAAAAGGTGAGTTTTGGGCAATGTTCTTGTCGAGTCAGGCATTGAAGGATGTGCCAAGATACTCAGAGGACTTTTGATACGGTCGAACCCACATCTGATCACGAGAAGGTGTCGAGGAGGAAGATATATGAGGACATGATCTCGGTTGATGTCATCGTTGTAGTCTTGGGCTCGGAAAAGACGGATGTCAATGGGATATCCACGAGTGCCGCCAGCGATTTGGATAGGAAGAGAAGACGGGTGAGAAGAGTCAACTCTGTTACTGCAGACTCTTGTCAAACTTGGTCTGTCAATGTCGAGAGAGACTACCAAGGACATCTCGCCATAGCACTCAAAGCGCAGGCAGATGAGTGAGCAGATCCATAAGATGCAAAGCTGGCGAACATTTCCTTGTCCTTGATCATCCATGAAACTGCTTTCTGGGGTTGTTTTACACGGCCCGCCCGGCCTCTGTGTGTGCAGTGTCCTAATCGTCAACCTACACTACCCCATTATCCGCGTATCAAGCCAGCTTGGGGTGGCCGGCCTACCTTATCTTCCTCATAGCCATGCTGCCAGTCGCATGATGTTCCACTGACCGAGTCATCGTAGATAACAGCAAAAAAAGACTGTCCTTTCTCCGGTACAGGGAATCGAACCCTGGGCTCCGCGGAACTGATCTCTCAGGTTATGAGAGCGCGAAATGTTAGCCACTACACCATACCGGATCTTGTGATAGTGGCAGTTCAGATTGCGAATGATGATTCTGTCGCTGGCGTCATACTAGTGAGAGGCAAGGCATGATTGTAGTTCGCAGGAAATAAAACAAAGCTTAGGTAAAAGAAGAGAACATAGAGTTAGAGTGATGAGTAAGTGTTCTGTTACTCGTCTACTATAGACAGAGGGAAGTTATTCCTGAGACTTCCAGCTATTGTAGTTCAAGACATGTGAATGCAATCTTACACGCAACCACCCAGTAGCTGAGCAATTGGGCCAACTGCGAGGCCCAGCATGTCTCCACGTATTAAAAAAAAAAAAAAAAAAGAAAAAAAAAAGAAAGAAAAAAGAAGAAGAAATGGTTAGCAAAAGATAATTGAAAATCTTGGGATTCGAACCCAAGCATGCATGTCTCGATATCAGAATACTTCCTGCTGAAGTGGATTAAGGTCCAGCCAATCAGATCAGATCAGATCAGTGCAGGAATCTTCTCTTTCCTAAAAGAGAAATCTTCGAAATGACTCATTCTGGCTCATCCTTTATCGTACAAAGGACCTCGCATTTGCCCCACTTCCCGCTCGTTCGTCCGGGGTGCTTACAGTGCTTTTGTATTCATGATGCACTGTTCTTCTATCGCGACTTGTCAACTTGTCGGTGATTCATAGTTACTCATTTCATGGAGAGGAAGATAATGGAATAGGAATTATATATACAGAGACTGACTTTGAGTCCTACGCCAGGGTTGTTCGGATGCTACGGAGGTTTGCGACGTCAAATAAACATGTATAAATTGCCTGAGATGGCTTGAAATGATGAAAACAATTGATGTAAGTGGTGATACAAAATGATCAAGATAAGTGCAAACTGACACAAGATTATCTGAGTTCCCTAGGTTAGGAACCCATGAGGTCCATCAACAATCTCAATCTCACCTGCTAAAAGAGCATTATCATCTCATGACATGCACCACATCACAGGAACTATGATTTGACGATTGAACAAAAAAAACATTATAATTCGAAATGCGCCTCGCTAACAAGTAACATATCTAGAAGTCTTTCCAAAGCCCCGAAACCAAACAATGATGCTGAACTCTTGTGTTGTGTTTCCTTTCCTGCTTATCTCATTCTGTGTCCGACATTGTTTCCATCACTTCTTTCCCAGCATTTCTCTCAAGGCATCCACCTCAGCTTCTCTCCTGGCAAGTTGAAGTCTCATATCATCCCTCTCATTTGTCATAGCAGCCAGTGCCTCCTCGAGCTCCGAGATGCGATCGAGTCGCTTTTGGCGGTACTTGCGAGCTGCGAGGGTGTTGCGTTGGCGTTTAAGGGTGACAGCTGACTCTTCGTCATCCGGTGACGATTTACGCTTCCGGGAGGAGCCTGATGAAGAGGAGGGAGATGGGTGGAGGGAGAAGGTGGATGTTCCTGGGATAGATGAAGAGGGAGATTTGTTGGTGGTGGTAGTGGTAGTGTGAGGGTAGGGAGTGCTTGATGTTGAAGGTTGCTCGAGTGGTGAAGAGTTGACAGTGATGAGAGGCTGCTCCTGGGCGAGGAAGGCATCTCCCACATCGAGTTGAGTATTCGTATCCAGAGCGTTCATGTCAGGAATCATAATCTGATCAAACAATCCCTCTCCCATGTTCTGACCAAAATTCCACGACGCATCATTTCCCTGATAGACACCTTGGGAGCTGTAGTCGAAGTCGAGAAGGGGAAGATCCAAGAAAGGAGAAACGTCGCACAAGAGACCAAAATCAGAATCTGGCGCCGGGGCACTGATGAGACTACCATGACATGACGAGTTGTCGGGCGCACTTTGATCCTGATGCTGCTGCGACTGCCATTGATTCAAGTTAGAGGGGGCTTGGCCTCCCCTGTAAGTGCAGAGAGGCCGATTAGGCTAAAGGGGGAAAGAGGAAGAGCGGACGGTGGGAGAGTCCGTTGGTGTTGATGAAGAAAGAGAAGTAGAGCGAGGACGAGGGATGGTGTTTTATATTGCTCGAGGTCGGGCGTACAGTGTGCTTGGGTTTTGGGGGCACTTGCGCTAAAGCATTCCTTGCAGCGGGCGCTTATGGCCATGGGCCCGTGGACCCGAAACGGTGTGAGATGGGTTATCGGGATCGCCGTTTTTGCTCTTCAGTGATAGGACAATTGCGATATATCAAGTTTCAATTGCATCAAGTTTGGGCTGTGTAATTGGGTCTGACTCATTGTTGTTTGTTGGTTGCAATTGACCAGTTGAAGCGGACCAAGGTTCCAATTGGGAATCGTAAGCAATTGAGAAGGGCTCTCTGTTAATTGAGAACAACTATTCGCAACGACAAGCCGATTTCTTATACTTGTTCAACTTTGTATGAGTAGAAATGCCAATTGATCTCAATTAGGTAGAATTGATGAGTCCTGGAGTGGGATTCTACGGGCGAGAGCTTCCACGCTCGCTACAGCGCGCGTTTCGCCATATTGTGAAGCTGTCGGGATTTACCACGGGCCCGAAAGCCCGACACAAAGACACACTAAAGAGAGTGGGAAGGCAGATACTTCCAAACAAGTCAACGGCGATTTCACTTATCATCGGGTGAATTTCATCAATGGTTCTTTCATATGGTAACGAAGCTTGTTCCGGGGGAGAAAATGACTTAGAATCTTTGAATAACCAGATCGAAACCATGCCGCGCTCTGCTGATCAAAGATAATACATGCACAACACCCTCGGGTAACGTGAAACGAGGGATCTTATGCAAGTGGCTTTTCATAGAAAACACAATAGATAGGAAGCAAATAGCTCCTGTGGCAGAGTAAGTGCCTTTCACCAATCTCAAGGGTACAGCTCTCGGGTAAGCAGCTTCACCACAGGTCAGTTCAAGAGCATCTGATATCTGGTGCAGCATTCCTTGCCAATAACCTAGTAAACGAAGATGGAAATAAGACAAAAGACCGTTTGGAGCAACGATAGCAGTTGAGGCAATTATACAAATTCTCCCATTGGTCTGCTGCCCTATCTCCGAATTTCAACACTGCCTGCGCCCTCCACTTGTAGGGCTGTCTATTAAAAGGCTCGCCCTTACTGTGCGTCAATGATCAGTTTAGGTTACAACAGACCGCTTAAACGGCACTGAGAACCATTTAATATGACATGTTTTTCGCTTCCTTCGCGTCAATCTGACGCCCTTAGGCGACCTTCCTATTTGAAGATTGCAGACTCGGTGATTCACATATGAACATGAGGTATTTAAAGAGTCACGGATACGATTGAACGAACTACAACAAATTGACGCTATCCTTTCAGTACTGTTCAAGAAACCATCACTTACAATGTCTGACTTACACTTTCGCGTTGCCACTGAGGATGATGCCCCTCGTCTTCAAGAGCTCATCGAAGCAGCGTTTCGCTTCACAGACGCTCACATCGACTGGATCGGATCTCCCGAATTAGCCGAGACATTCAATATCGACATATCAGTCATTATCGACAGGATCACTTCAGATGATAGTAAATTCCTGGTCGCCAGCGACACCACTAACGGCCCTATAACCGGGTGCGTCAACGTTATGAGAAAGGCCCCCGATTACGGTCGTTTGTGTCTCTTAGCTGTCGACCCGACACTGCAGCGGGGAGGTCTGGGTAGACAGCTTGTTGCATATGGAGAAGAGTATCTCACGAAGGATTTTGGTGTTGGCAAGATTGGGTTGAATGCACTGCATACGAGAAAGAACCTCATTAAGTGGTATGAGAAGTTGGGGTATGTTAGGACGGGGGAGATGACCACGATTCCGCTTGAGAGGTTTGAATCGGACACGACTATTGTGTTGGCCGAGTTGGATAAGACTGTTGCCTGAGTTGAGGCTCTCATACTATGTGACCACGCTGGAGGATGGGAGTGTTGATGGACGAGAGATTGACAAATGTGAGTTGTTGTGAGATTGGGGCATCAAGAAGCTAACATGATGCACAGTGAGCCGCCATATAGATGTTTTAGTATTTTTATCCATTTCTGTGCAGATCACCCGTGTCAACGTTGAAACAGGACATCAGTGCAAGTCGTTTAGAGGAGGAGGAGGAGGGGAGGAGGCGGCGGAAAGAAGTGCGATATCTCAAGGTTTCATCCCGATTCTTCTTATATCTCCATCCATACAAATATCATCCTGCTGAATTGATGACAATACGATAGTGAATCCACGAATATACATAGACCAGCATTCTGATTCATGCCCGGTGATAATCATCAAGGTAGCACAAGAAGCCGATCCGGACCCATTTTCTAGGACCCGAGGATTTCCTCCATCCCGACATTTCCCTTGTCTCTCTCGCGCCTCATCACCACGTCTTAGAGTGATCTGAGCGTACTCAGCCTACCTACCATATGTACCATGATAACCAACAGTCTTGGCAATACAAAATTTAACGTGACAAACATCTTTGCGTCGTCTTCACAACGTACTGAGCCACGTCACGACGACCTTACCAAAAACGCCGCCAAGAGGTCTGTGTTGCCAAGTTACGCAGCCAGTGTATTCTCATAACCAAACGAAAACCCCCGAGATCACCACGTTGAGCGAGGCTCAAACACGATAGGGCTCAAACTGATCAATCGCCAAGACAAACTCTGCTATTAAAGATAGAATGGAAACGCGTGGCTAGCGAGGCTGTGATATCGTCTTGGCAGCTGAGTTCACCTTCAACCAATGCGGATGCACGGGTGTAAATCTTTGTAGACGAATCACAAACGATCAATGTGCTTCTCAGAGAGGAAAGACCTCACGCGACAATAGAATCAAGCATAAATTGCGGGAGCTGGGGTAGTGGAGGGGGTATTGCGTGGCCTGGGGGGAACAGCCACTGATCATCGTGCGTCTGTTGATCCTTTGGCTTTCTCGAATTTCTTTGTTAACTGCCGACCCTGGTTGAATGTCACTTATGACGCAGGGCCAAAGGTTTAAGCTTATATTTGCACGCCGGAGAAATATAAGCATACTCAGTGCCAATGTCTCTAGTACGGATTATTACGACATCCTGTAATTTGCCTGTAAAGCTGCTACGAGGTCAATACAAGCTCGCCGAGAGCATTGGCACAACAAGTTCCCCAGACTTGGAGTCGAGCAAGAAATTTGGCAGTGGAGAATGGCAGCCCAACGCTTTAACCATGACGCTCCGCCAAGACCGTAGAAGCGGAGACGAGAGTTATCGTGAAGCCAGTTACGAGCAAGCTTCTGAGTCGTGCAGACGATCAATTGGTGGGCAGATTTAATTTCTTGGCATATCACCAGGCATTACGACTGCCGTGGCTGGGTGAGAGCAGGCCAAGGATCAATTGACATTAAGGTGAGGCTTTCGGCTGGGCAAGGGGATCGTCGGGAAGTGACATGCTATGAGAGTTGCCAAGAAAGTAAGAATGTATTGTGAAACTGGAGTTGACCGATGAGAATGTATAAATGCCCGGTCTGTCCTTCAATTCGTTCTCTCATCACCAACAACTTCATTCACAACCTCAACCACCGCTTCACAGTTCAAGCCCCAACAGCAACAACAGAGCTTCTTCTCACACAAACACTCAAAATGTACACTTCAACCTTCGCTCTCGCTATTGCTCCCCTTCTCTACCTCGCCCGCGCAGACATTAGTCTCGACCGGGACGACATCCCACGAGAATGCGACACCATCTGTGATCCCATTGTTCAGCTCACCAAGACTTGCGACACTGACCTCCGCGGTGACCGTGACCGTGAAGAAGACCGTCTTGAGGCTCAGTGTGTCTGTACCAACGACTCTTTCAACGTCAGCCGTGTCGCTGCTCTCTGCGCCGGTTGCATTCACCAGAATGCTCAAACCAACCGCGATGACGACGATGACGATGATGATATTCGTGATGACACCGAGGGTAAGTTCTCTCAATAAATTATACGAGCTGTGCTAATTATGTAGAAATCGATGATCTCATGTACACCTGTGGTTTCTCATCCACCACCTATGTCGCATCCGCCGCCTCAGCTGCTGTCTCTGGCGTCTCAGTCGATGCGACTCGGCCTACAGATGCTTCTCAGTTGACCACCACCATTGTTGGCGGTACACGAACCCAGAACTCTAACGAGCCTTCTGCTACCGGTAGCAGCGGTGGTAATGGAGGTAGTGGAAGCAACGACGACAACAATGATGCTTCTGCTACCAACGACGCTTCCAACCCCGATGAGACCAACGCTGCTGCTGCCATGGCACCTTATGGAGTCGTCGGCGCTGTTGTTGGCGCTGCTATGCTCCTGGCTTAGATATGATGGGACATCACCCACCCTGTAAGAGGCCTACTAAAACGATGAAGGATTGTCGCTTTTTGTGATACGCCTTATTTTTCTTATTTAGAGGGATACGCTTAATGAGATATGTCGCTATTTATCATATGACACCGTCTGCCGATGTGAATCTATATGCCAGATAATGGTAACTCACTTGCGACTCTTATCTCACCTCATCGGCGAACTGTATCTCTCGTCTAATTGGAGGTGTCTCGTCCCCAGCATGGACCGGCAGCTCTGAGCGCATTCTTTGAGCACCAGTAATGACAATTGGACCAGTTGGCGGACGTGCATCTTTTTTATCTGGCCCAAAGAAATACCTTCCAATGAAGGGGATGTTTCGTCGGCGTCCAC